CATAGTCTCTAGCACTTCATCTTACAGGCACTCGGGACATTTTGGGAGAACAAAGATGCTAAAGCAGGGTGGGCAACTGTGGCTCACTCAGAATCCCAAATTCCTGAGCCTCGAGTTGAAGTCCACAGGTCATAAAGATGCTGTAAAGGGGCCATAGTTGCCCACCCTTGGACCAAAGGGAGCTGATCCTTTTTGTTGTAATTTGCAAAATATAGGTAGTCCTTGACTTCAGACCAGTCATTTTACAATCTTTCAAAGTTGCAACAGCCATAGAACAAGTGTTTTACAATCTGTAAAGTACACCATCTGTCATAAATGATTATGCTCCTCCATGTCATGTGATCACATGTCATGCAGGTCAGCTTTATAATCAGTCACAGCATTCTGCAATCATGTGACCCTGATTCATGAAACTGGTGTTTTGCCAGTTTCTGTCAAAAAATGCCCATTCAAATGAATGTGTTCGCTTAATGATCACTACAGAAAAAGGCTGGAAAATCAGTTACATGGGTGCCTCAATTTATGACTGCAGACTTACAACTCTATTTCCAGTCCCAATTAAGGTCATAAATTAAGGATTACTTGTAACAACACATTTATTTGAGGAATGCCAGCAGAGTTTTTTGTTTCTAGAATATTGTGAATCGGCAGAAAGGCCAGTGGCCATTATAGGGGTAATTAAATTGTTCATCTTCGGGTTGAACAGAAATTTGAACCCAAATTAATAATAATGCTACACAAACCTTAGTGTTCTGTGCAGCTATAGTAAATGAGTCCTAAGCTTGGTTTTTCCTGAACTACTTATTCTCATCCACGCTGCACCGAGAGTCCAGGATGGGTTAGACACCTCCCTGTGATGTCATAGAGCTGAGTCTGCCTTTATATAAAAAGCCAGCCCTTAGCTGGCTCCCCAGCTTTGACTCAGCTCCTTTGTCTTTTGAGCTGGTGTCTTTGGAAGCAGTCAGAGTGTTCTTACCTTGCATATTAGTTTGGAAGGAAGACAGGTCATTGTTTGGCACAGCTCCCGGGGGTCCAGTGGAGCTGCCACGAGGAGAGCAGGGACCTGCTCTCCCCCAGTGCCAAAGATTTATCATTGCCTTCACGACTATAAGTACGGGGAGCACTTAGCAAACCTCCCACGCAGCCTTCCCCAGCGAAATCAGACTGCTGCTTCCCCGGTGATCTGAAACGCCCTCTTCGACGCCTCCCAGCTGTGTCTACCCATTACAGCCGTCTTCACCTTATTAATTTGCTCAGGGCTCTCAGCAGCCGAAAGAGCGATCGAAGCCAAGCGGGCCATTCTCCTAGGCCAGCCCATGTGCAAGCGGCCATTTTAAGTGTAATTGGGCCATAACGCACATGGAAGTTGGCCGTTTTTTATTGGCCTGATTGCAGGAACAACATTCCTAGAACAATCTGAGCACTGTTCTGGATCACCTGGCCCAGATAATAGGCGGCACATATACAAGGGTTGCTTCCAGCACCTCTTGTGGCATTCCTATTGCAGCATGGAAGGGGACAGGGCCCAGACAGAACTCTCAGGCCTAGAAGAACATGGCCCTCAGGCCCCAAAGAAAAGGAGGAAGCGGCAACAAACTCAATCTGCACAGAGAGAGGCTGCAGCAAAGATCGGGGCCAAGGCACTTGCACCCAAGAAAACCTCCAAGGCCAAGAAGAGAAGGCACACCACCTTGGAAAGACTCCTCATTCAGGGGAATTACAGATTTGCCCACAAGTTGTCTCCGGGGAGGGGGATGTTGAAGCTGGCACCTCCAGTCATCTCCAAGCTCGGTCCCTGAAAGAGTAGAGGAGCAGTACTGTCCCCAAGATTTAAGTAGGACTGGGCCCTACTTTAGACAGGTTCCTTGGCGTCCCCCTCAAGGGCAGATTAGTCAGGGCTGCCACAGGCCTAGGCCTGAGGCAACCTTTACCCCTGCTGCTGTGGGCATGCGCCCAGCTGACCCTCCCTCAAGCAGCAGGCCTAATTATATTAGAGACATGGTCTCTGTGGCCATCAGGCAGGGCCTAGCAGAAGATTTTCAGCAGCTACTCCATCCTTTGGGGGGCAGGATTTGTTTCCAGCCCATCCCCAAGGCATTCCCTCTCAATAGAGAGGGAATCCCAGACGCCAAGAATTTAGTGGCCCTTCTACCAATCTGATAGGGAGATTATGATGAGAGGAATTATATCAATCCCTCTGAGTGCTGTCATTCCTCAGGGTCTGAGGAAGAAGAAGGAGAGATCAGGGACTCTATCAGATGAAGAGGAGTTTCATCCTGACCAGCCCCCCTCAGTGGTGGTTTTTCAACCTGCTTTGTTTAAACCACTTCTTCACAAGGCATTGGTCACCACCCAATTAACTCCTGAGGAGGTGGCCCCAGAACCCCAAGGGGATTCGTCTAGCCACAGTGACCCCCTCTTCTCCACATGGAGGTTTTCTCCTCTCCTCTGTTATTCCTGGACCTGGTTAAAGAGCAGTGTGCCTCCCCTGTGGCAGGCCTCGTCCTTCATCCCATGACAGGCGATTTTACAATGTGGGCCCCTCCTTGGCAAATGCTCTTGTAGTGCCCTCTGTAGATACTCCAGTTGTGGCCTCATTTTCTTCCTCTGGCACCCCCACAGAGCCAGAGGACGTCCTCAAGGCCGAGAACAAGAGCAAATGCTCAAGTGGAACCACCAGGCCGCGGCTTGGGCTGTCCGGGCCTCGACAGCAGCATCCTTTTTCGCAAGGTCTTCGCTCCGCTGGCTGTGTCAACTACAAGATCGCTTACCACCCACTGATTTTGGATCACACCAGGATCTGAACAAAATTATTACAGCTGCAGAATTTACGGCGGACGCCACTCTAAATTGAACCAAGTTTGCATCTAGGGCCATGGCCTCCTTGGTGGCAGTGAGATGGCTCCTGTGTCCACAAAACTGGCAGTCTGATTTCAGCCGAAAGTGGAAGTTGGCTTCTGCTCCCTGTGCTGGAGAAAAGCTATTCAGTAACACCCTGGAACCTTACCTTGTTGAAACCAGTAACTGGAGAAAGGTTCTTTCTTCAACAGGGAAGAGGGCAGGTTATTGTCCAGCTCTGTATTTCTGTCCCTCTTCCTTCTGGGCTGAGCCTAGCACTCGCTTCTCCCGGACCCAGGGGGCATTCCCTGGTGAACCTGTCTGTTGCCCAACTGTGGAGGATCCTGGCCAACAGGATCTCTTTTCAACAGGGAGCCTTGATACACCTGGACCCTCAGTGGTTCCACTTGACCGTGTGGCACTTGAGTGGCAACTTCTGAGAGACCTTAGCCTTCCTGATAGCGTTATCCACACCATTCAGGCTTCTCATAAACCTTCTATGATTCACATTTACGATGCCACCTGCAAAGTTTTCTGCAATTGGTGTTTGAAGTAAAAGCATGTTCCCAACTCAGCATCTGTAGCTGACATATTACTATTCCTTCAGGATGGGTTGGATAGAGGGCTTTTGTCCAATACCCTTCGCTGCCACATGGCGGCTCTGTCTTCTGTTCTACACTGGGAAAACTTCCCTTCCCTGTCCCATCATCCTTCAATTCATAGGTTCCAGCCAATCTCCATCCCCCAGTGGTTCACAAGTACCCCATGTGGGAGCTCACTAAGGTGTTACAGGCCCTTATGGGGACCCCATTTGAACCCCTCGGATCCATGTCACTCCAATTCATGACCTTTAAAATAGTTTTTCTAGTGGCTATTACATTAGCTCAGAGAGTGTTTGAACCGGCGGCACTCTACAGGATCTCTGTATTTTCCATGAGAACAGGGTGGTTCTCCGTTTAGATCCTACCTTTGTCTCAAAAAACAATACCTGGTTCCATCGGGCTCAAGACATTATGTTGCTAGATTTCTGTCCTCAGCCATGCCACGAATTAGAACATAAGTGGCATACGTTGGATGTAAAGAGCACTTTGCATCTACATTAAATGTACTTCTATGTTTCGAAAAACAGGCTATATTTGTGTCCTTCTCTCCAACCTGTTTGAGGAACAAGGCCCCTTCTTCTACTATAAGTAGATGGATCAGGGCTTGCATTTCCAATGCCTACAAGTCCTTATCTATTCTGGTGCCCAACAATTTGACCAGTAATGTCGCTACATTGGCCTCCTGGACCACTCAGGCGTCTCTTGAAGAGATCTGCAGAGCAATCACATGGGCAACTCCATCACCCTTCATCAGGCACTATCGTCTGGACTCTTTTGCCTCTGCGGATGCAGTGTTCGGCAGACGGGTGCTACAGAGGGTTGTCCCTCAATCAGAGTAAGAAGGCCGGACGAGGGCCCTCCCATGGACATGCAGGCTTTGGTATGTCCCATCCTGGACTCTTGGCGCAGCGTGGATGATAATGGGCGTTGGTCTAATTACCTGAGAATGCCCTTTCTATCAACCCTGCAAGAGAGTCCAGCCCCACCCTTGTTATGTCCAGTTCGGGTAAAGAATTATTGTTTCTAAATGTTTTTTGTTTGGCTTCCAGAGAAGTCTGCTAAGTCTGTCAAGTATCTTTGCCAAAGCTGGGGAGCCAGCTTTTTATATCGAGGCAGACTCAGCTCTATGACATCACAGGGAGGAGTCTAACCCATCCTGGACTCTCTTGCAGCGTAGATAGAAAGGGCATTCTCAGGTAATTATACCAATGCCCATTTTTAATATTACATTCATATTCCATATGAATATTATCAAGAAGAGATTTCTGATAGCAACATGGTGACTACGTTTATGAAGCCCCATTTCTTGTTAATTTAATAAATTATATTTTTCCTTTTTATAAAAAGAAAATCACAAGTGTAGCATATTATACACTTTCCAATAAAAATGTTTAGAACCATCATATGTAAATTTGTGCAGCCATAAACCATTACATAATATTTATAACATCTTTCTGTTTAGTTATAATTATGCATAAATGTAATTATTCTCAGTAATAAAAATGATAAAATTTCTAATTTACTATGCCTGATAGAAGTTACTGGCATCCCTCCAAACAGGTTCTCTAATGATCTTTCACCATGGCAACCAATATGGAGGTGCTGGCTCAGCAAATAGTGGAGACACAGCAGGTGGCTGAGGTGAGTGATGGATAATATTACAGTATTCTCAGTTCATTTCTAAAAAGAAAATACTGTTTCCAACTAATTAGTTAGTAGCAATTATTTATATTGCAAAGATTATTACTTCATAAAATATAAAGACATTCCTTTTGTATTAATAGACATCATTTATATGGGCAAAATGTCCATCAAGAGATTTGGAAAATGTACCCTTCCCAATCTTTTTAATGCAGCTTGCCAGAAAGGCTGCTGGGTAAAAAAGGCTACAGTTGCGTTTTCAGCCATATTCCATGTCTTTTCTTTTCCTTGTAGAAACCTTAGCTAAATATGTGAAACAGTTGCCCATATTTTCTCCTTACAAAAACTGGGTAGAATTGGCAACTTCTAATTCCATCTCTTAATTTTGTTTACTTTACAATAATTCTTACCTGGCTTTAAAAAAAAACTAAATGAAACTAAAATAATGATTGCAGATAATCCTTGTGATATCTGGTTTTGAATATTATTTGTGGTATAATCAAGTTTTATATACAGACTTCCGGTTTGAAGGGCTTCGGTGACAGACAGAAATCTGTGATCGTGCGCGGTTTCTGTCTGGGCTTGCCGCTGGAGCGCCCCGGGCCGGCTGGTTTCAGGGCTAAGCCACCCCGTAGAAGTGGTGAAGAGGGGGGAGACCACCAGTAGGGTCGAGGAGAGCCGCATCTCTCCTCAGCTGGCCATTACTCCCTTTCTCAAAGGCGGTTGCAGCGGTGGTCAGAAATGGCCACCACAAAGAAGAACTTGACCGGTAAAGAATGTGCAGGAGGAAGATAAGAAGTGAAAGTTTTGGCTGACCAGGTTAAATTATAAAAGCAACAACCAAGGTACCCTGGAATTTAAACTTACAAAAAATAACATCGCTCCAAAAGAAGAGTCGGAAGTAGCAAAGGAAAGGGAAAAGGGAAAGGTTTGGCTTTTTTTTTTTCTTCTGTCTCCTTCCCTATACTGACAACTATGAGACTTAAATAAGAAATCGGAAAAATCCGCTTTGACATCAATAGGCAATTAAGCTGAAAATAAAACAAAATGCCAAAGGGATAATAAAGATTTCTGGACATTAAAAACTTTCATAAGCAGGAAGGGAGAGAAAAAGAATAAGGGCAGGATCTGGAAGAGGAAGGAGACTGCCTGGAATTAAAAAGAATCTAAAGTAAAGCTTCAACAGGACTTCTAAAAGATACTTTCTCCCTCGAGCTGCTCGGATCATCCAGAGAGTGGGAGGTGCTCCAGTCTGCATCTGTGTAGGCTGAGCTTAATTACTGAGGAACGCTCCGCCCTCTATCACGTGGTCTCTTGTAGCGTTCCCCAGTTTATGCTCAGCCTTCGCAGAGTTAGGCTGTGTGGTTTTGACTGTGCTTCTCCGTTCCTGCCTTGTCGTCCTTGTGCCGCCCCAGCGGTCCGGATTCTTTTATTGCTGGTTTTCCCCCATTCAACGCCAATCACCCTGGTAGAGGTGATTTTAGCGTCCTCGCCCTCGTGGCTTGCAGGACGCACACGCCCTGAGCAGCCCGCTTTGCCTTTTTTACATCGATCTCCAGGCGGCCGCCGCCTCGTGGCCGGGCACCATTTTGTAGGCCTCCATTTTGCTGCGATGATTTGCTGGCCCTAGCCTCAGGCTCCCAGGCCTAGTAGGGCCTCTCTGTCTCTCTCCTCAAAAGGGAAGAAACATTATTTATCTAGTATATTTACTGGTGTAAAAGTGTTGGCTCCCGCAGCAGAGCTCAGGGCGGGGAAGTAAGTGCAGCCACTCCCTCCCTGGGGGGGGGGGGCAAGCTGCCTGAGGCCTCTTATTTCTGGCATTTATTTGACTAATTGGCTTTCCTCTTTCTACCACAACTGCTAGGTTGTTATTTGGTCACACCTTAATACAGAATATCTTCATTTTTTTTTTTTTACATTGGTGATCCTATCTCATTCAATTGGCATTTATTCTCTCTCAGATTTGCTTAGAGAGATATAGCCTCTCATTACTGCTTCAACAGTGTGGTTTTTTCTTTTTTCCTGGATCCATATCCTGACAGGATATAGTTTATACATTAGAAGTCTATAACTGTGTCAGTTCAGAATTTTTGGTCATATTTTTCAGATTATTCCTTACAAATTCTAAAAGGGGGTGCGGGCCAGTTTCTGGATACCCGGCCTTACCCAGGTCGTATCCTAGGCGTGCCAATCGCCTATATATATATATATGAATATATATATATATTCATATTGACTCATCTATTTGTTTCACAATGGCAGACGACAACCCCAACACCCGCCATTCTTTGAAGGCAAAATCTAAGTCCCATCATGTGCACAGACAGGCTAAGGAAACCTCCCAGGAGGCTTCCAAGGCCTCTCAAAGGGACGCCTTAAGGCGCCATAAGGCACTAGAGAGGGAGTTCGACAGGCACTCTAGGGTGACTCAACGAACACCCCCAGCCGTCCCTTCTACTTCCAGGCACCCCCCCTCTCCAGTTTGTTCCCCTCTCTCCAGGCACAGCTCATCCCAGGAGTCTCACGCCCCTGGACCAGCAACCAGCCGGATGCCTGAAGCCACCTTCACTCCCATGGCCGCTAGCCTAAGACAGGAAGACCCGCCCACGATTGAGATGCCTAAGTACATGAGAGTTTGGATGGAACAGGCTATTCGACAAGGAATAGCTCAAGGCATGCAGCAGATGGCCGGACCAGGCCTCCCTCAGACGGCTCCTGCACAAGAGCCTGTGCCAACCAGGCCCACGCCCACCCTGGACCCCGCTCCTGGTCAGGTACCCTCCCGGGGGGCCAGCCCTCTCCCAGAAAGGGAACCGGATGAGGGAATGGAAATTTTAGACCGATACAGGGAGGGGGAGGAGGAGGACCTTGAATGGGGATCCACCTTCCATGGGGAACCTCTTTCGGACTTAGACCCAATGGAAGCAGAGCTGTCGGAGGACGAGGGCCTTACCCCCGATCAGCCTTCCTTTGTGGGGTTATTCAAACCCCACATGTTCAAGTCCATCCTGTTCAAGGCCAAGAATACCTCTGGCCTGGCCATTCAACTTCCCTCTGCCCCCCCCCTCCTCAGGGGAGGACCCAGAGGACGCCATGTTCAGGCAGCCTGTGGTTGCCGAGGATGTGATTCCAGCCCCTCCCATTTTCCACGATCTAGTTTCTAACCAACTGGGCTTTACGGGGGCCCCTCCTGCCCCATCCACTCAGGATAAGAGGTTATTTAACCTCAAGCCGAGTTTTTGCTCCCTCCTCAATACCCCGGAGGTGGATGAGCCCATTGTTGGTCTCGCCTCATCCTCCTCCCCGAGTGACCCCCTGGAGGCCCTCAAACCCGAAGACAGGAGGTCTGAGTTAGCCTTGCATCGGGCTCATCTAGCCAACGCCTGGGCCATTAGATTGGCCACCGCAGCCTCCTTCTTCACCAGGTCCTCTATCCGGTGGCTCTGTCAACTGAAGTCGCATATCCCTCCATCCAACACAAGGGCGCTTCAGGACATAGCGAAAATCACGGCAGCGGCAGAATTTTCAGCTGACGCCACGTACCATGCTGTCAAATTCTCTTCCCGGGCGCTAGCGTCTCAGGTCACTGCTCGCCGTCTGCTCTGGCTCAAACCATGGCAGGCGGACGTGAAAAATAAGGTCAAGCTGGCCTCCGCCCCCATTAAGGGGGAGAAACTTTTTGGTCCGGCCCTGGACCCCCTGTTGGCCGAAACTAGGGGAAAGAAGAAATTCCTCCCTTCTCTTTTTCAGAGGCCAGAGTCTCGAACCCCTCAGCCCTTTCGAAGAGGGTCCTCCCAGTCCTTCTTCCAGTCACCCTTCCCTCCCAGATACCCCGAGGCCTCCCTCGTATAGAACACCATATCCCCAGGATCGTTCCGACCCGAGCAATCGGAATAGGAGGGGCGGAGGGTTTAAGCGTCCCTTCAGGGGTTCCGGGGGGAGACCCTTCTGGCGCTCCAAATAAATCCTGTCTTTCTCCTCCCATTGGCGGTCGGCTTAGACATTTCGCCGACCAATGGGACTCCACCACCTCCGATAAATGGGTCAGGGACTCCATTAGGTTTGGGCTCGCTCTGGAGTTCAATTCTCAACCTCCCTAGTTTTTCATGTCATCTCCTCCTTCTAGGGACCCCTCCAAACGCAACTTGATGGATTCTGCCATCCACCATTTACTCTCCATCCAGGCCATCCAGCCAGTTTCCCCCTCTCAACGACGACAGGGCTTCTATTCCCACCTCTTCGTGGTTCCCAAATCCTTGGGGGGATGGAGGGCTATCCTGGATCTCAAACGGCTCAATCGCTACCTATCCCTCCGTAAATTCAAAATGCACACCCTTCAATCCATCTTGCTGGGCACCAGGCAAGGAGATTGGCTCTCTTCTATAGACCTCTCAGAGGCATACCTCCACATCCCAATTCGGCCCTCCCACTCTAAATTCCTTAGGTTCTGTTACAATCACCGTCATTTCCAGTATGTGGCCCTTCCCTTTGGGTTAGCTTCTGCTCCTAGAGTTTTCACTAAGATCCTCGCGGCCTTGACGGCTCGCTTAAGGGATTACCCGGTCCTGCTCCACTGCTATCTTGATGATATCCTCATCCTGTCCCACGCACAATCCCAGGCAGAGCTGGAGACCAAGACCACCCTCTCTGCACTCCAGGCCCATGGGTTTCTGGTCAACCAAAAAAAGAGCGAACTGGTCCCGTCTACCCGAATTGCCCACTTGGGGGCCATTATTGACACGGTGCAGGGAAAAGTGTTCCTTTCTCCGGAAAGGCTCCTGAGTATTCAAAACTCTATTCAGGTTATTCGACGATCAAAGAGGGCTTCTCTATTAGAATTATCTAAATTACTGGGAAAAATGGTTTCATGCATCTCTATTATTCCTTGGGCCCGTCTTCATACCAGATCCCTGCAGTGGCTCCTGCTCCCGTTTCAAAGGTCCGGCAGAAGCAACTCAAAATCCACCATCAAGGTACCTCCAAAGGTCCTCTCGTCTCTC